GAAGATGCACTGAAATTAGTATATCAGGAAGGCTTACTAACTACTGGAGAGACCAAACTGGCCTACAAGAAAGACCAAATGAAGAACAGAATAGAGGCATGGGAAGACAAAGCACTACATGGCCAATACATGAAAAAAATAGCTGGGAAAGCAGATAATAATAAAACCTGGCAATGGCTAAGAGCAGGAAAATTGAAGAAAGAGACCGAGGGACTAATTCTGGCTGCACAAGACCAAGCCTTAAGGACAAATGCATACAAAGTCAAAATTGAGAAGACAGCAACAGACAGTAAGTGCCGCCTATGCAAAGAAGCTGAAGAAACAGTGGACCACTTGGTAAGCTGTTGCAAGAAGATTGCACAGACTGATTACAAGCAGCGGCATGACAAAGTAGCAACAATGGTGCATTGGAAGATCTGCAAAAAATATCATTTGCCTGTAAGCAAAAACTGGTGGGATCATAAAATAGAGAAAGTCATAGAAAATGATAAAATTAAACTGCTCTGGGACTTCAGAATTCAAACAGACAAGCACCTGCAACATAACACCCCAGACTTAACAATTGTCGATAAGAAAGACAAAAAAGTCTGGATAGTGGACGTGGCAGTGCCTGGAGACAGCAGAATAGAAGAGAAAGAACTGGAGAAGATAACAAAATACAAAGACCTACAAATAGAAATAGAAAGACTGTGGCAAAAGCAAGCAAGGGTAGTACCAATAGTCATAGGCTCCTTGGGTGCAATCCCAAAACACTGGAGCACCACTTGAACACCATTGGCATTGACAAATTCGCTATTAGTCAATTGCAAAAGGCGGCCTTACTAGGAACTGCTTCCATCCTGCGACGATACCTGTAATACCATCAAACATCCACATCTGCCTATCCCAGGTCCTGGGTAAGGACTCGATAGGTAGACAAAATGCCAAATCCAGTCTGAACATCTGGCTGACTGTGCGATGATCGATAATAATAATAATAATAAAATTGGAAGGGACCTTGGAGGTCATCTAGTCCAACCCCCTTCTCAGGCAGGAAACCCTATACCATTTCAGACAAATGGCTGTCCAGTCTCTTCTTTAAAACTTTCAGTGTTGGAGCATTCACAGCTTCCGGAGGCAGGTTGTTCCACTGATTAATTGTTCTAACTGTCAGTAAGTTTCTCCTTAGTTCTAGGTTGCTTCTCTCCTTTGATTAGTTTCCACCCGTTGCTTCTTGTCCTGCCTTCAGGTGCTTTGGAAAATAGCTTGACTCCCTCTTCTTTGTGGCAACCCCTGAGATATTGGAACACTGCTATCATGTCCCCCCTCGTCCTTCTCTTCATTAAACTAGACATTCCAGCAACCGTTCTTTATATGTTTTAGCCTCCAAGGGACCTTGGCGGAAGGAATTGGGAGTATTTCTGCTCTACAGCAGGACATGGGCCTTGTAGTTCAGGGAATCTTTAGGCCCTATCCAGTTCTATCACTCCTATTCTTCTGACCCTCCCAGGCTTCAGAGGGTGTACTTCTGAAATTAGGGATCAAAGAACCAATTTGGGAGTTAAACCTACACTATGTCTGTGGGGGATGTGTGTATGTTGTGTTGTGAGGCAATGAATATCTCAAGAGAAAACTGAGGGTAACCTTGGGGTATTAATAAGACTGAAGCACATAATAAAGAAAACAAAGAAAACCTGGGTTGGCTTACAGTGCGAAGAAGAATGAATGAGTCAGTAGCAGATGACGGAGGGAGATATTTTTGTTCTTGCGGATGGGTTCCTAATTCCTGAGAGCTTTTGATGGTGCAGGTGCCTCATCTTTTCACAGCATCTCATTAAAAACCTGAAAAAAGCTGAAAGGCTGACTGATAAAACCAAGGCAGGCTGCGTGAGGCCTTTGGGATTGTGGTGTTTGTTAAAAATGAGAGATTTGAGCTGCCCACCTCCAGCCCTGGCCCAGGTGTAGCGTCCTTTCGAAGGTCTGTGACTGAATTTATTTATTTTTTTGGTCTCCAGGGAGCTTGCTGTGAAATCTCTTTGCAATGGTGCCCTTGTGCATTGCTTAAGCCTTTCTGCCAAAAGTAGATTAGCAGGTTGCTGGCTGGGTGGGAGGAGCTAATGAAAGAGGCATCAAAACAATTCAAGATTTTGGCTGAGACAACACAGTCAAAACCCCTGCTCCCTTTTCATTATGATTGTGTAGGCCACACGTACCTCTCACCTGGGTTCCTTCATCTGGGCTCAGAAAACAAGCAAGACCATTTTTCAGTGCTGTCGTAACTTTGAATGGTCGCTAAATGAATTGTAGTTCAAGGACTACCTGTACATCTTTTCCTCTGATTACATCTGTCAGCTTCATTTCAATTTCAACTGCCTAGGAAGGAATTTCTCCTGAAGTTGCACCATGTCTTCTTTCTTAAAAAAAAACAACCCTCAAACACTCTGGAGCCAGGAAGCAGCTGGTTAGGCATGTCCACAGACACAGGTGCAAGTGTTATTATTATGTTACACTTGTGCACATGTGTGTATCTCAAAAATATATGTGTGATGGAAATTCCTTGTTATGATTAAGTGGTGCTTCCTCCCAAACAGATAGATTACTCTCAAATGGTATGTGCAAACACACAAAAGACGGGTGTAAAATTAAGTGTAAAACCATCTGGTTGTGACCATGTACATTTCTGCGGTGTCTTGGCTGTGCTTCTGAGTTACAGACTCTTCCTGTTTGGAAAGTGGAGACAAACCTCCAGTGGGTTTTCCAAGCTGACTCAGAAGAGCAACAAATATCCTTGCCAAAGAAACTGTCTTAACCATGAATTTTGGAAATCCATCTTGACACCACCAAAGCTGTTACGAGAAGGTGTGTTCCTCTCAGTGGCTACCCTTTCATGTTGACATGGACGTGATCAGGGTATATGAATGAATTCTTGCTGTCACATACTTGGAAACCCCCATTTTTAATCCTGAAAAGAAGCCCAGTCTTGGAAAATCTGAGACAAATCATCTGGAATTAGCAAACTGATGCAATGGGTTTGGGTTTTGTTTTGTTTTTTTATAAATAATGTTATATGACAACTCTTTGCACAGTTAGTCTCTTGTTTACATTCATTTTAAAAAAGTATTATGATAGTGTGAGCCATAATTTACCTAGACAAATAAAGATTGCCCAATATATTTTTTTTCTTAGTGACCAAGTAATGAACACGTAACAAAATAAATAAATAATGAAGATATTCAGAGTTTCTTCCCCCCCCCCAACATAACATGGCTTTCTCATACACCTTTCCCAGAAACATTGGGACACAAGACTGAAATACATGATGGTGCTAACCTGGCCTATTGTAAAAAAAAAAAAAAAAACAAGGAACAATCACGATTGCATCCAAGTTTCCACTCCTAGGAATGCAAATATATACTTGAAGCACAATTGAATGATCTTCCTTTCATATAAGTCAGTGTTTCTCAACCTTGACAATTTTAAGGCATGTGGACTTCAATTCCCAGAATTCCACAGCCAGCATTGCTGGCTGTGGAATTCTGGGAGTTGAAGTCCACATGCCTTAAAATTGTCAAGGTTGAGAAACACTGATTATAAGTCCTTTCACCTCTGTTCACTGAGGACCATCACAATAATTGATTGTAACGATGATCTATGTAACAAAAATTCTCATAGTCTTTGACATTCAGCAGTTGATATCCAGAAGGAATGCTTCACATTACATTATATGTTATCTTAAAAAAAAAGAATTAAAGAAAGGGATGGAGAGAACTTGGATCATCGCCATATCCAAATGCAGCTGCTGAAACTGAGGTGATGTTCTTCATCGTTTTTGATGTTCTGGTAGCTCGCCCAAGTATAGGAGGTTTGAGAGCCATCCATGCTACAGCTACTTATTGCCAGGAGACCACTGCCAGCAGTTCGATCCTGACCAGCGCCAGGTTGACTCAGCCTTCCATCCTTCTGAAATTGGTAAAATGAGGACCCAGATTGTTGGAGGCAAAACGATGACTCTGTAAAACTGCTTAGGGCTGTAAAGCACTATGAAGCAGTATAAAAGTCTAAGTGTTATTGCTAAATCCTAAATCTTTGGATGCTTAGAAAAGTCCAGGAGCAACCTGATCCTAATCTCTCTTCTTGTAGTAGACATCAATTTTCAGGATGTGATCCCAGGATCAACAGTTCTATTACCATTTAATCCCCAATTATTTATACCTCATTCTGTATCTTTCTCTGCAATCTGTCCATCGTTCCATTTTTTTCATATTATCTCTCCGACAAACATATAGGATCTTCACCTTCATTCCCAGGTTATCTGTAGACTGAGTGCCTTCAGACTGAAGTAGTCATAAACAATAAATTTAACTTGGACTATAAGAAAACCAAAGAAAGATAGGAGAAGTCTGAATACAGGTAATTCTCAGCTTATGACCATTGATTTAACAACTATTTGAAGTTATGAAGATACACTGAAAAAAATGATTTATGACTGGCCCTTGAACTTTGTCACTGCATCCCCACGGTCACGTGATTTTCATTTGAATGGTTGGCAGCCAGCATGTATTTACAACAATTGCAGCATCCCATAGTGATTGCTATTTGTGACCTGCCCAGGCGGCTTCTGAAAAGTAAAGTCAATGAGAAAAGTTAGATTTGCTGAATGACTGTGTGATCCATTTAATGACCATGCCAAAAAAAAGGTTGTAAAATCAGGCACAACTCATTTAATGCTCACATTGCTTAGCTATAGATGTTCTGGTCCCTATTGGGATCATAAGATATACCTGTGTAAGTCTAAGTGTTATTGCTATTGCTAAATCCTAAATACTAGGACAGGGGTCTGGCTGAGGAATTCTGGGAATTGAAGTCCACAAGTCTTAAAGCAGCAAAGTTTGAAGACCCCTGTACTAGGAACAACTGATCCCAAGAGATCTCTCTTCTTATACATACCAAATTCCAGCAACCGTTCTTCATATGTTTTAGCCTCCAGTCCCCTAATCATCTTTTCTCTGCATTCTTTCTAGAGTCTCAATATTCTTTTTTATATCGTAGCGACCAAAACTTGATGCAATATTCCAAGTGTGGTCTTACCAAGGCTTTCTGAAATGGCACTAACACTCCACTGGATCTTGAAGTGTTACTCCTTTTGACTCTTTTGACCCTCCTCTGCAAACATTTTTGTCAGAAAAGCTAAAACTTTGATTGGGAGCAGTAAAGGATGCTGAGAACCACAGAGATCTTTTTTAGATGTCTTCAAAAGAAATGGAAAAGAAAAGAATGCGTATCCCACAACTGGAAGAAAATGGCAAAATATAACAAGTACAGAAATTAAGAAAAGGCAGAGCTACTCAACTTCTTTGCAGTTCAGCCTTCATGACAAAGTACAGCGAGACCTTGATTCAGAGGGACCTTGATGCGAGGGACTCTGCAGCTATTCAACCAAATTTCAGTAGCAATTTCTCTCATTTGCGTCATGATTTGCATAATATGCATGCCATTATACAAATGGCATCCTCTTGCATCAATTCATGATATGTGTCTAACGTTGCATAAATCACCTACTTTGACGCGAATGCTATAATTTGGGATGATGTGGTCTCTACAAAGAGTGTGATTGCCACAATAATGTACTTTATATTTCATGGACATTTATGAATAAAGACATTTCCTCCCTCAGTGAGTGTGTTAAAATAAGGTTGCTCTCTGTGTGTTCCACCAGGAAACTGTGAAGAAGCGAGATTGAACACTGAGGCTGACAGAAATATCACCAGGAAATATCTATTTACTTTACTTTAGATGCTTATGGCCAAATAAATAACATTATGGTGTAGTCAGAAAGCTTGGTAGTGGCCTAGCTGAATTTTTATCTTTAATAACATCCTGGAAAAGTTGTAAAGTTTCCAGTTATTGCAGAACTATAGAGCAGTTCAACTGTCAGGCACTGATGCCCACATATATATTAAAAAGAGATGAATGGGCAAGCCCTTTGAAACCAGTGTGGTAATAATTTCATATTACCTGAAATTATGTAATTTAATAATCTATTATTAAATAGATTACACCATTAAAACTTTCCTGTCTGTTTGACTGTTTGTAACTTTCAATTAGCTGAAGCAGTGCATCATAAGGCAACAATTTTTGAATCAAGGCATCTCAAAGAATGTGTACAAAATCCAGGGCCTGTGACTCCTGTGGAATTTAAATATCAAAGATTTTCAGACCAATTGTGTTTGCAAACTTGTGGCTGCTGCAGCCTCACCACAGTCAGCCACAGTCATATGATTGTGATTTCCAACACACCCTGCTAGCTTCCCACAAGCAACGTCAATGGGGAAGCTGGCAGGAAATCGGAAGTCATTCCTGCTTCCATTGATGTTTTGCCCACCCATGGTCATTCCTTTTCACTGTTTAGATAAGGAAATATCTCTGAAAGGATGATCCAGTGTGCGATAGTGGCGGATATCTGTGGCTCGGGTAGAGGATGAGGGTGGAGGTACATTCTCAAAGATTGTGGGTTGGTTTCCAAATGTTTCATTACCAGGCTAGGTAACATCTCCATTGGAATTTAGGGGCTGTCAGTGTCGGTGCTCTTCTGTTTTGTGTGGTCAGTAGGTCTTGTAATGGTGAGGTCTTATCAGGTCAGTGTCACATCAGGTCAGGGTCTTGTGATGGGTCAGGTATGGTTTGTGTCAAATGAGGGTCTTGTGATGGGTCTTGTGATGGGTCACAAGTGAGAGTCTTGTGATGGGTCTTGTAATGGGGAGGTCACATTAGGAAAGGGTCATTGGGAGATGAAGTACTGGTGGGAGGGGTTGTGTGGGTCGGTTGCGGGTCAGGGCTGTTTTCAATGCTGCTAACATCGGATGTTCTTGCTTTGACAACAGATGGAAATGCAGCCATTTTTCTCTATTGCTTTTAGAGTTAGTTGATGCTGGGAGGGGAAATGTGGATGAGAATCCAGCTAGTCATAACAATAATAACTCAGCCGTGGGAACTCAAGGTCATTGGGCCAGAGTTGATAGAGTTTTGGTGGGCTGGAGAGCTGGGGAGAAAGCCCACGCTTCAAGCTAATTGGGGAATGTGATTTATGACTGTTTATTGGAGGAGGGAATTGTGCTTTGATACTTTGTATCCAGGGGAGGGGAATTTAGTTTTTGGTTTTGACTATATAGTGCTGATACTTCGCTTCTCGAATAAAAGATTCTTTAAGGTAAACAATGCCTCAAAGTTCTTTTGAAGAGTTTCATCTGTCGGAAACATGATAGTTGTCTCTGGTTGGCTGTGCTGTTGATTTGAATTCCGAGGGGTTTGTTGGCTGATTGTAGGTCAATGTGTCTGTTGAAGGAATTCCTTGTGTGTCGTGGCCCATCTCATAGTACATAGTAGTATATATTATGTGTTAGGTGGGGAATCCTGGGAGTTGAAGTCCACACATCTTAAAGGTCCTCAAATTGAGAAACAGTCTAAATAATCAAGAGCCATGCCTCACTCATGAATGTGGATTGAGAATTTCTGCAGTGTATTCTGAGTTACTAGCTGTACAAGCTATAGACCCACTGTGATTCATCTCTGTGACTCTTTTCCTACTCCCCACCATTTTGGGGCAGCAAAAGAACTCCAATCAATTTTAAGATGCTCACAACAGATACTCCTCATAGTACCACAAGTATAGATTTGGGGAAGCTACACTTTTGGGGACTACATATATGGCAGGTAGGCATGGTCTCATGGAATCCTTGGTGGTCTTTAAGGTAGGTTGATTGCTTGCAGACATCTCATGACCTAACTAGATAACATCATCAATGCTATTGGAGAAGTGGTCTTCTCCAGATAAGACTGGGATATTTAACTTTTCAACTATGTTGTGTGATGGGCAGCCATTCTGTGATTATCAGACCTTCCATGGCAGCCAACTTGTGAGCAAATCATCACAAACTCTCAACACTTACATTCTTAGCGAATTTTTTTAAAATATATTATTTATTAAACACATTTATATAGCTGCCCAACTCAAACATAGGTGACTTTGGATGGCTTACAACATTTAAAAATCATCACATTAAAAAAACCCCATGCCCTCCTCTCCATGGTAGCAGCACAATCAATTCAATCAGCTCCATGTCTATTCATGGTCTCCAGGCCCGCTGACAAAATCATGATTTAAGGCCCCTCAGAAAAGCAACAGGGTCTGGGCCAACTGCACCCTTTTACATTACAGCCAATATTTTTAAATTTGTGACTAGACATAATTTCTTATTTTTATGACAGGAAAGAGACAGGCATATTGGGGGGCGGGAGCGCCTATGCCTTCATTGGGAATTTTTTAAAAGCAGGTTATGGGACTTTCCCGGAGGGCAAGTGGATCTGCATTTCCAGATTCTTCTTCATGCAAATTTCATGTCCCAATTTTTTCCTGATTTGGTCCCTTTATTTGTGGGTGAGGAATTTCCACATTTTAGTGCCCTCCAGCATCTAGGCACCATCGTAAAGAGCTGGCAAGGTTTTTTTTTTCTCTTTTCTGTTCAAATATTTCATGACTTCTCCTCAGTTCGTAGGATGAGTCAAGTGGCCAAACCCCCCAAAAAAAAAAAAAAAAAAAAAAAAATGGACAAGAGTGAAATTATACCATTTTCTAGTTTCCATTCAAAAAATGAACACATTTTCATTCATGGCAAGTTTAAAAAAAATAAAATCTTGTTTGTAATATAACTTATGTTTAAATGTACAAGTGGAGCAGCCTTTCCAGTATCCTCTATATTGGTTGGACCTCTGTTCTCATAATCCTTAGCTAATTTGGCTGTTGCCATTATCATTGAATTATCCATCATGAATCCATGATTCTTTTTGCAATCAGTCACTGATTATTGTAATCATTAACAGATACGTAGATTTGGAGAGCTTGCACCATTGGGCGTTATATTGTACTTGCTCCCTGATCTACAGGTAGTCCTCAACGTATGACCACAATTGGACCCATAATTTAAGTTGCTAAACGAGACAGTTGTTCAGTGACTTTTGCCCCATTTTACAAACTTTCTTGCCTTGGTTGTTAAGTGAATCACTGCAATTGTTAAGTTAATTTAAGTTAAGTGAAGTTAAGTTAAGTTAATCTGGCTTCCCCATTGACTTTGTTTGTTAGAAGTTGCAAAAGGAGATCACATGATTCCGGGACACTGCAACTATCATAAATATGAGTCAGTTGCCAAGTGTCTGAATTTTGATCACATAATCACAGGGATGCTGCAATTGTCATAAGTGTGAAAAATGGTCACGTCACTTTTTTCAGTGCTGCTGTAACTTCAAAAGGTCACTAAACTAATTCTTGTAAGTCGGGGACTTTAAAAAGTAAAAACTGGAGGCTAAAACATATAAGGAACGGTTGTTGGAATTGGGTATGTCTATTTAATGAAGAGAAGGACGAGGGGTGACATGATAGCAGTGTTCCAATATTTCAGGGGCTGCCACAAAGAAGAGGGAGTCAAGCTATTCTCCAAAGCACCTGAAGGCAGGACAAGAAACAACAGATGGAAACTAATCAAGGAGAGAAGCAACCTAGAACTAAGAAGAAACTTCCTGACAGTTAGAACAATTAACTAGTGGAACAACCTGCCTCCAGAAGCGGTGAATGCTCCAACACTGGAAGTTTTTAAGAAGAGACTCGACATCCATTTGTCTGAAATGGTATAGGGTTTCCTGCCTGAGCAGGGGGTTTGGACTAGATGACCTCCAAGGTCCCTTCCAACTTTATTATTATTATTATTAATAATAATAATAATATATTCCCAAAGAACTCAGTGCAGAGCAGAGAGAAACAGGGCTCCTGTCTGCACAATAACTGCAAAATGGGAAGTTTCTTGCCACTGCAATACATCTTGAGTACAGACAGTCCTTAATTTACAACCATTCATTTAGTGATTGTTCGAAGTTACAACAGCACTGGAAAAAGTGAGTAAAATCAGGTGCAACTCACTGAACCCCCTTGCTTAGCATCAGAAATTCTGGCCTCAGTTGTGGTTCTAAGTTAAAGACTATCTGTAAACTATTATTCTACTTAGAATAATATTGCACATACCAGTCAAGGGCATAGGAAATAGTTAGATTGCTTGGAAGATGAGGGACAAATCTCTGATCATTGAAGATTTCCACTTTGGTTTAATAGCCAGAGTCAGGTTGTGATTTAAGCTGCTAAAACGAAGCAAGCAGCTAGTCAAAAGTGGAATAGATTTATGTGTGCAAAATGCCAATTTCTCAATGTTACTTCATTCCTCATGAGTACTGTTTTGCCTCTCGCCCCAGCCTATAAATATTGGGGTGGAGTGCGGAAAAAAAAATACTATTAAGCCCAAAGTCTGCCCAGACTAGGCATTAGATAGGCTGAATGGATTTTCCTATAGGGTCTTTTTTAACACTTCTTGAGGCTGCTTGGGATTGAAAACAAAATCTTCTGCATCAAAAGCCCTTCTTGTTTCCTTGTCTATGGATATTCTCAGTCATCGAGGTCATGGTTGTCCTAAAGGTGCTTTTTCCCCCCCCAAAAGGCAACTGGACTTCGTTTCTCCTCGAAGATGTTTTACTTCTCATCCAAGAAGCTTCTTCAGGTCTCCTTGTAGACAGGGCTGGCACCCCAGGAGCAACCTTTAAAAATAGAGCAGAGTTCTTAGCAGGATGTGATTGTTGTCCGTAGATTCGTTTCTCTTGCAGGACGTTGTCTCTGTTTCCTCAGCTTCTTTTATCTAACAAAAAAAAAAACCCTTCTTGCTCTTGCTAAATGCGTATTTTTATCTTTAAAAAAATGTAACATAAAGAGGAAGATTGTTCCACATGGCTGAGTCTCAAGCTCCGTCTGGGTCAAAGTTAAGTGTGCTTCAGGAGCAGAGGATTTGCAATTGCTGGTCTCAGAATGAGCCTTTCTGGCTGGCTATCTCTACTGTTAATGGTGCAAGCAGCTTTTTTGACCTGTCCCTATCATCACTACTTCCTATTCTCATATTTTTATCCAACATAGAATTTCTCTTTATGAATGAGTCTAACAAGTGATACAGGTAGTCCTCAACTTACAACCACAATTGAATCCAAAGTTTCTGTTGTGAAGCAAAGACAGTTGTTATGTAAGTGCCTTATTTTCCAAACCTTTTTTGCATAGTTGTTAAGTGAATCACTGCAGTTGTTAAATGAATCATGCGGTCATTAAGTGAATCTAGTTTTCCCATTGACTTTGCTTGTCAGATGCCAGTTGGGAAGATTACAAATGGTAATCACATGACCCTGGGATGCTAAAACTATCGGAATTTTGATCACATGACCATGGGGATGCTGCAGTTGCTGTGAGTGAGAAAAGCGGTCATAAGTCAGGATATTTTTTTGCTAAGTTGTTAAGCAGATCACTGAAGTTGTTAAATGAATTATGAGGTTGTTAAGTGAATCTGGCTTCCCCCCTTGATTTTGTTGAACCCAGGGCACTGCAACATAGTAAATACATGTCAGTTACCAAGTGCCCAAATTTTGAACATATGATCATGGGGATGCTGTGACAGTTGTAAGTGTTATTATTTAGATTGTTGTATAATTGGGTTTTTATGTTTTGTAAGCCTCCCAGTGTCACTAAGAGTGAGTGGGCAGCCATATAAATTTTCTAAATAAATAAACTCCCAGAATTCATGGCTGGCTGGGTAATTCTGGGAGTTGAAGTCCACACATCTTCAAGTTTTCAGCTTTGAAAAACATCGGGGAAGGTCTTATAGTTTGATTCTGTTCCCCATTATTCACAGTATCTAATGGCAGAATTATCTAATGCCTATCAAGTGGCCACGTCCTGCTTTTCAAAGGAAACAGGATATTTTTGCTGTTGTTGTTCAGTCGCTAAGTCGTGCCTGACTTCTGTGACCCCCTAGATTAGGGATAGGCAACCT